GCAGTCGAGACGTGTAAAAAGGGGACGTACGGGGCGTTGCTTTCCTCTTACACCAGCACAGCCCATCTTGCCTACTTGCTTACGTACTCACGTGCTTCATTCATACATGCTCCATTCATATATGCAAGAGTGGGTAGTGTTTGAGTAACAATATTACTACATCAACTTGTAGCCTAATTGTTCCTCAGTTTCAACTCTCACTCTCGCTTACTTCCCCACACACTCCCCGCCCACACTCCCCCACACACTCTCCCACACACTCCTCCCCGCCTCCCCTACAACCCTCACACCACCATCTCCATCACACTCCTCAAAAATCCCAATCCCGACCATCCCACCCCTCTCCACGCTCGACTGGCGACTCTTGCAGCTTACAAAATCCACCTCTTCTTCCCTGTCATCGCGGATACATGGTCCGGGGACAGGGGTGTGGTTCTGGGTGCGGGATGCTGTGGCTGCGGCTGCGGTGTAGAGTGTAGGTACAGAGGAGCCGCATGTTGCTGATGCGGTTTGGATTGGGAATGGAAATTCTGTTGGCGGGGAAAAAGAGGTTGTTGGCCTACTTTCTTCCAGAGGGGAACGCGCATCTCCATGGGTGGTCCCTGTGGTAAAATCCTCATCCGTCGTGGCATGTTGGTCTTTTTCTCTGCCATTCCTACGCCGAGCTGTCTGAGCGTCTTGCTCCCCGTTGTCCTCACGCATCCATGCCTGTTCGTCCTTCTCCATCCCGTCCTCACGCATCGTCCAATCCATGATTCCAAGTTTCCAGAACCTCGACGAAGACTCGGGGATTTTCTATATTCCAGCGCTTTGGTGCATCGGTTCCTTGCCCTTGTTTCGCTCCGTCGAATCGCTTGTGTCTGCTGAGCCGGCAAAGGCTTGTTGGATTGGTGGACGCGGTTTCGCTGCAATGTCGAGCTCAGCGAATTTCGGTCGTACTTGGAAGATGTTGACGCGTGCGGCGTTGAAGATTTGCTCGGAAGGCGGAATCGTGACGGCGAGGTTTGTATTTTCAGTCAGGCGTGTGATGAAGAACATGAAGCGGCCCGTTTTGATTTGCATTTCGGCAAAGTTGGCGCTGCCGGCGGGAATATTGGTGTGCTTGCTAGATGGAATGGTCAGCATGGATCTGACAGGACGACCAAATAGAATCGAGGACACCTACGCCATGCTCTGCTTGTGAGTCTTGAGAATACTGGAAATCCGCTCAAATCTGTCTGTGAAGGGATTGAGCTCCTCGGTCTGCCTGGTAACATGCGCCACGGTAAGACAGGTTGTCCGCTCATACAAAATCAATTCTCTCGCATCAATGACCTCAGCCAACTGTTCCAGCAGCGCCTCGATTGTGCCCGCGTTTGGGATCAAATAGTAAATGATCTTGGTCCAGGCCTTGTACAGACTCTGATCCCAGATACTCGTCGCGAAGAACTCGACCGTGTCCTTGAAGCCTTCACTAGCATCCCTGATATATTCAGACCGCTCATCAAACATGGTCTGGCGTAGACGAGCCTGCACAAGGTCCATTTTGTGAATCAGACAAAAGACCTTGGCGCCTGGACTGCATTCATGCAGAGCGCGTACAATGGCACCATAGGATATCACGTCGCCGGCAAACTCACGGGACTCGATGTCGAAGACGAAGATGAGGACGGCAACGGAGCCAAAGACGTGATTGCGCGACTGGTTGAGATAGTTCTCGACAAAGCCGTCTTGGCTGGAGCTTGTCAGATGGTGTAAAGCTTGGTGGGTAGTGTTGTACTGACCCTCCACAGTCCCAAAGATTGAGCATCAGATTACCCATGAACTTGATATTGGAGTGCTCTACATCAATGGTAGCACCTAGCCGCCGTACATCCTTTGCGACGTAGTTGCTGAAGACGATACTGCGCATGGACGACTTGCCAGCCCCACTCTTACCCATTAGGAGCACTTTGCGCTGCTTCTGACGCTTGACATTGACACTATTCATATTGGAGGTAGAGTGGTGACTGGTGAGGGCACGCGGTGAGCCGACTTGAGGGATTAAGTATACAAGGCGCAAGACCGCGAGGACAGTATGGGCAGAAAGCAATAGCGAGGAAAGGAGTAGGCACCGGTCGGTACAGAGATGGGATCGAATGTGCTTGTGAAGAAAGCCAATATCAAATGACGTATGGGGTAGACAGGGCTGGGTCCTGGGGTTGGACGAGCGACTGAGCTTTGGAGCTTGGGCGCGCACGCACTTTCCAATTGGCTTGGCGGCGACAAGTGGGGCACTCCCGCTCCGCAACATGTGAACCGTGAACATGCACACCCACATGGTAGCCGCCAGAGTACCCCATGAGCGTTGGCACAAAAAGAAAAGAGAAATGGGAGTAAACCATGATGAAGGTTGTGCGACTGACAAGCTGACCAGTATGGTACATGCATACGGTATGCCTATGTACCCGTGGTGCGCAAATCGCCCATCAGCCACTGTTGTCGGGTAATATCACTACAATATCACTTGCGCGCACGACAGGGCTTGAAACCATGATTTCCAAACTTGGCAAATGCATGACCGAAGCAAGCTCGGATTGGTAGGGGCTATTTCGACTATATCAAAAGAGCCAAAGCGTTTGAAACGCGAGATTTGCGGTGAATCGAAGGGGCCCAAGCAAGTGGGCGGAATAAACTACAAAGGTTTCTGTCCAAACAAAAAGCCCAACACAAAGCCTGGTATTACCAAGAAAGCCTCCGAGATGTCGACCCGTCCATATCGTGTCGTACATGTCATCCGCCTGAGCCGTACATGAGAGATCCTATTCCGGCGCCCATGTCCATAAAACTCAGCGACATAACCGTGGGGTGTACTCTGACACCCAGTCTGCTGACAGAAATAAAAGTTACAGTAGATTAAGTGAGCAAGGGGTATCTCAGAAAACAGTTCCGTCGGAGAGGATCATGATGGGCGGTTCTTTGGTATTGGGACGCGACACTTCTGCAATCTCTCGGCCACCCTGTCTGGAGTTAACATGCATCGTCTCACCAAGAGACGGCTTCTTACCTTCCAACTGCCCGCCTCCAGCATTTGCGCCAGACTTATCTTGTTGCCGCCGCTCAAGCCCAAGATGTTGTTCACGTCAACCAGGAGATCGTCGAGGAAACCAACGGTGACTGCGCGCCACTCTACAATCACATCATCATCCGCTGTGAACATGGGCACCACCTCCATACTCGGCTGCCCGGTTTGTTGGGCATTACGCGCATATTGTGCCAACCCTCGCTTCTGGTCTTCTGGTTTGAGGGTCAAGAGACCTGTGTCGATGAGGAGGCCACCGTTGCGATATTCCGGCAGACCGGTGAGGAGGTCTGCACCAGCAAAGTGGACATGAAGCAGCTTGGTCATTGGGGCCATGAGTGAGTAGGTGAGCCATTGTGTGAGCTTGTGCAAGGGCACAATATTCTCCCAAGGGTGAGTTGGATGTGATGGCATGACGGAGCACGGCCACGCATCGCCAATGGTGATGCCGTCGATCTGGGTACGATTTGCCGGCCAGATGGGTGTTAATGTGTCCATGAGCATGTTCCAGAAGGTAGGAAGAGGGACGATGGGAACTGATGAGGCTTGCGTGGTAGGATGTGATAGGAGGTAATCTAGTCGAGTCAGCAAAGCCTACATGGCCAGCCACCGGACATTGACCTACCCAGCATGTTGCCCGGCCGGGCCTCGAGACCGAAGACTTCTTGGTGTTGCAACGCATCAGCGAGCCTCAACAGCAGGTTCGTGCGTCCCTCGAGGCCATCAATGGGATTTGATTCGGTGACCTGGAGGCCACGCGCTATGACGCCGACATCTAGCCTCCTGAGTCCCGCGCTGTCGACCTGGCATGGCTCCCTCGCATCGCTGCTGAAGCAACCTGCCTTGAACATTTCCAGACTCGCCACCGCAAGACCCTCGCTACGGCGGTAGATTTTGCCCGTCTCTTTGCTCTTGTACTGCCACTTTGTGCCAGCGCCCGCGTCCAGGAGCACTGAGACGAGAAACAGATCGATCAAGCGGCGGGCTCGCTCCTGGTTGTCGACTGTCGAGGGCCAGGATGCCATGAGCTGGTCAATGCGCGGCCGGCCACCGACTTCGAAATGCTGCCAGCGACCATGGTGAGGAATGGCAGCGTAGTTGGGCGCATAGTCGCGCTGCACGTGTGTTAGCTGGGCGTCCAAGACATCGAGGCAGATCAGAGGCAGGAGGTGAGTGAGAGGTGGAGACGGAGACGGAGGCAGAGGTAGAGGCGCACTTTGATGATGGACACTACAAACCGGGCGACGTCGCCAAACTTGGTCATGTCGACGATGAAGTGCTTGAGCTGGTTCTTCTTTGGCTTTTCAGGACCAACTTGGAGCGCTCACGGACG